ACATGAAAAGTCATATACATACTAAGGAGACCCCACAGAATTGAGAGCCTTTCAACAGTACAGAGCCATAGATTATAAAATTAAAATACAAATGATCCCCCCAATTGGCAGGAAACATGTACAATGAAGAGGCCTGGAATGGAAGGGCACTTGCTTTTTGATAAGGCAGTTACAAAATGGAAAAAAAAAAACCAAACCCAAACCAACCCGCACCCCTAAAACACTCTGACGGGCTGAACAGATAACAGACATGTGTAACAGGGATCCTGCACAAGCCTCTGCCATTGGCAAAGATATGTTCATTAAATGAAAGCCATTGAAGAGTTTGTGTTTGAAGATGCAAGCCGGATGAAATGACTGTAGACATTCCTACTGTAAGAAAAGTCCCACCCTGCCTCTGGCTGGATTCCACCTCAAAAAATGGGATTGACTTTACCCTTCCTAACCATGAACTTGGAAACAGTCTGTAATAAAATGAAAGGAATACAAAAGCACCCCTAGAGCACCACGCTTCCCAGGGCGTGGTCTTGAGCTCACCTGTCCTTCAGTTCAACTGTCTCTCTCGCTAACAGGGACGGGGGCAGCAAATGGCAGGGCCACAGAGCTGTGTCTGCTCAAGTCAGGGTCACCTGATTGACCTACCTGAAAGGCAAGTGCATTTCATGAGAACTTAGATTCTAGGACACCACCACATTTCCCACTAGGACTCTGGAACCTTGGTCTTAAATTACAGGCTTTTTCTGATCTCCCTTCCCATTCATTTTACAAAACTCAACTGATGGCCTTCCCAGTCAGGTCTCACAGCCTGGAGTTCTGCAGGTTGGTTCATAGTCCCTGAAAGCCAGGCTGGCCTGGGGGACCTCTGCTCAGGGGCAGGTCTCAAGGACCTGACAGCAGCTCCCTTGCAGAATGGGTTCCAGTTATGCTGCGAGTTGTGAAGTGAAGGAGCGCTAAGTGGGTCTAGATGATGCCAAAGCATTCAGGCAAGTCTTTTCGAATCTTGGTTTCCCCATCTCTAAAAATCAATGACTGGGCAATGGCAACCTTTAAGGAGTTTCCAGCTTGAAAATATGGCACCTCCCTGACACTGAGACGTGTGGTTCCCCCAAGTTCCTAAGCTTTGCTTTCTCCATAAAAGCAGTGTGTGCAGTACTTGCAGGAATCTTAAGGTATAAGTCCATAGGGGCTATTTAAGCTTTCAACTCCAGGACAGCATGATCATAGTTTACAATCTTCCAGCTAAAACTTTTCCTAAGTTTTGTGAGGCAAACACAAAACTAAGGCCTCTTCTGTCCTAAGGTATTTTTTTTAGCAGTTCTGGAAGCACTCTCTTCTCCCCTGACCTCCTCCATCAGCTTTAGCAAGATTGAGGGAGTATAACTGGGGTTTCCTCAACATCTTCAATAAGGAACTAAATGGACTAATGATACTTAGAGGGGAGAACATTCAGACACCAAAGTGTCTGTTTGCTAGCTGCTCCTTCCCCAAAGACAAACACTATACCCTGGGATGGTGCCAGCGATTAGTCCTTGGCTAACTTACTTGGCCCCCATTAGGCAGAGACTAAGATGGAGATTACTGAGAACACAGAAAAGCCAGAGGTTTACGAAGATAGGACAGGCTTCCCCAGGAGGTAGTGAGTTCTCTGTCCTCAGAGGTGTTTAAGCCCAGAATGCTCAATCCTTGGTGGGACGGTTGTAGGCAGAATGTCAGCACCTATGGGAGACTGGACTGGATGACTTAGAGGTCCTTTCCCAACTTTTGGATCTTGTCGTTGTAATGACAGAATCCTCAGATGATTTCCATGCAGTAACAGCTCTGGGATCCGTGGTTGGGCTCCTGAGTAAGTTCCCACTCTGGCTTTCTCCTTCCTACCATGCAGGTGCCCTCCAGGATGTTAACAAAAAGTTCCCACTAAATAAACAGCTGAAATGCCAAGGTTAGATGCAACATTCCAGCTGTAAGCAGTTATTCATATCTGCTCTCTGGAAGACTAGCTGTGACTATTTAGCTATGACAGGAACATCTAATAACTTGGCGGCTGCATCACATACATGAAATTCCTCTTCCTTTTACACCCCTGGTCTTGAATCCTTTGGTTGCAATCTCTCAAGGGATTTGGCTATGATCTTTTTCACATGCTGTTGCCAACCTAAGAGTCTGTTCACTGAAATAAAGTCTGTCCATTTGTTTTTTAAAAACCTTAAAAGGAAGCAACACGGATGGCAAGATGTTGACAATTCCATGTGACACTCTTCAGGGCATAGGAAAGAACGAAGCAGGCTGGAACTGAGGCAGGAGCCATGCTCTTGAAGAAGACAAAGCCAGTCTGGATTGCACATTCCAGTTTCGCCCAGGAGCACCAAGAGCAGAGAAGGCAATGCTGCGACGTGACAGGTAGAGAGAAGCAGAGTCCTTGCCGGGTGGCAGAGAAATGCAGGCAGCCACGATGAGCGCTGCGCTCCCCAAGCCCCACTGCTCCCCACAGCCAGACCTGGTTGCTTTGGAGGGTTGGCCACCTCTAACAGGTAGACGTCTCCTGCTCCAGATCAAACCGTGGGAAACTGCAGAAGAGGCTAAGGCAAGTGGCTTAGTGGTCTGATGAAATAGATTTCTGCACACAAGAAAAATACAAGCTCAGAGAGTTTTGTCTTCTCTCATCTAAGATGCTTTCGAAGGTTGAAAAGACACCCACAACTTCCACGCTCCAAAGGCCCTCTCCTTAGAGGAAAGCTGGCACAGGATTTGAGGGCGCACGGCATCTGGCTGAGGGGGAAGCTTCCCAGGCTTCTTGTGGGAATGAAAGCACTCTCACAGCCACTCTTGAACAGATGGGACCTAATACCACAGCTTCTTGTACAGAAGTGCATTGCTGTCTCTTAACTGGGAACACAGTTCTGCTGTTGAAGAAACAGTGACATGACCTACACGTCCACAACTCTGGTTCAAACATCAGAAAAATACACTTTTTTTCTCAAGGAGTTGTGGACATTTCCAGAGAGCAGGTTCCTAATGTCTTAAGCCTATCTGCCCCCTAACTCCAGCCTGACGAGAAAACACTTTCTTGGATAAAGGGGGCTTGGTGTTTGATGCCTTCAAAGCCATTCTAACTCAGCTCCTCAGGGGTAAAAAAAAAAAATCTACTTTAGAGCCTTCTTGATGCCCACACATCAAGAGCCTTCAGCTGTCAGTAGTGAGACTCTTTAAACACCTATTGAATCTGCACAACTGAAAACACACACAGAGCACCCTGATGTGCCATCCATGGCCAGGTGTATGAAAATAAAATCCACTCAGTCTCAAGTATGCTCTATGTACATTCATTTATACATATCTTAAAAGGCTGCAATCTGCTAGACATGCGTGGTGAACACTGGTGAAAGCTGGGCTACACCTGAACACACGGTGCTTTACTGAGGGACAGTGGTGGCCCCAGGCCTGTCCACAGAAAGCACGCTCCGTGGAACTGACACCTTTGGCCACTCTACCACCCGGCTGGGTGTGTATGTGTTGGGGGTTGTTCTGACTTCTCTGTGTGGATGCTCAGATTAAGTCATCTATGAGACACTAAAACACTCTGCCAGGCTATGCTGTCCAGTGCTGCTTCTATTTTTTAAGGCTTAAGGAAGAACTCAGAATGAAAACTGAGTTAGAAAGCGGTACCTTTGACCACAACTTTTGTCAAGGTGGTCAGAAATTAGAATTCAAGTCCTTTCTTCTCTTTTCTTCCCATTCCCTGTCCACATCCTCTGCCCTCCAATACACTGACTAGAAAATTTTGCAAAAGCATACTTTTGGATATAAAGCTTTGTTTTCAAAGGATACTTTGGCTCTGATATAATTAGATAGAGGAATCTGAAGTTTTGAACATAAAAAAAAAATCAGGTAATTATTAATACTTAAAAAAAAAAACACTTTAGCAACCTTCCCCCTAAAAGAGAGGCAAATTGCTCACAAAAATGAACATCAGATGGCACTGACCTGTGTTGCTCAAACCCATGATTTGTTGCTGACCCCCAAGGAGGCCAAAGCTGGTCAAACTTTCTATCCCAGAGCTGGACTTCGGAGCAGAAACCACCTGGTCCTTGGCAGCTTCCTTGTGGTTGTGAATTAAGGATTAGTATTTCTGAAAACAAGAGCCCCAAACCACTAAATATCTCCATGTGTCAAAGCATTTCTGGCCCAGGAGAATGACTGAAGTCCCAGTACATCACTTCACCCTGAAGTATGAAGCGTGGAGGGGTGCACAACGGGCCACGGCTCCCAGGAGGGACTCTGCATCAGGGTTTCTGGCACCTCCACAAATACAGCTTGGCACATGAGTCTGCCCTGGAGTCCCGGTCTGACCTGAAACCTCCTGCTGGTGCATCAGGACTTCCTCACGCTCTAGAAGTGAAGTGGTGAGCAACAGGAACAGCAGAGGCCTCGATACCAAGAGGTGGGAAGCCCAAGACTGGCTCTGCTAGTTACAGTTGGATGTGTCGGTAAACCCTGCCTGAGTGCCTACTGTGTGCACAGCACAGAGCCGGTGAGGGGCCAGGCTCAAATGATTTGCTGATAAGCGACAAAGCGTGGTGTCTACGCCCCTGGCAGACGTCTGTTCATGCATCTCTCTGCCAGCCGTACCTCGCTGCTGGTCCGGGGCTATACCTCACAAGCGGTCGCGTGGAACTACAAGGTGACTACCAAAATATCTGTCATCCCACGTGTCCAGCAGAATTGACTTAATGCGCTGTAGAATGCGGTAATGCATTGTTTTCCTTTCATTCTTTTTCCGATCTTGTGATTTTTTTAGTCCGGTAGTTGCCTTAAAAGAAAGTCTGTGTATAAACATGCTGAATCATGAGAATATAATCCTCCTGCCCGAAAAGATTTACAGTATTCATTATTCAAACTTTTTTATTTACAATAAAATTTAACAGTCTTTATGGGCTTAAATGTAGCAGATGTCACCTGTGCATTAAGTATTATACTTCATTCCTTGAAGGTGTGCTTCATCATCACTCAAGCTGCTTGCCACTCTCTGACTTCTGGTCCAGTCTACTCTTGTTACTCTTCACCATGTAGATGAAGTAAGCAAGGGTCTCCTTTTCATTCACAGGTATGTTCCTGAAGTGTCGGCTGACAGTCTATACGGGAGGGAAAAACAGAGCCCAAGAAAGCATGTTAATAAGCCAGGGCCGTGGATTCTCAGCTGTGTAAAAGGGAAACAGGGAGCTGCTTCCAGAGCTGGGAGGGAGTTATGATTACTGCACAACTCCCCGAAGTGCTCCAGAATACAGAATGTGAATGCCCTTCTTTCCCAGGCTTAGGGGATTTGGCTTCCAGGCTTCCAAAAGCAACATTTTAACCCACAGCACTCTCAAGATGCGGTCCTATTTCAGGGGCAGATAGCCTATCCATCACAGCATAGTCTCAAGGTCATCTCCATGGAGGAGGAGACTGGGACTGCTCTGGGTGACCAGCTGCTACCATAACCTCTCAGACCCTGGAACTGGGCCGAAAAGTGTCTTTTTAAAATTGTGTCAAATAAACAGCCAACTGAACAGATGTAAAGGTCTGACCCAAAAAAATCATCTCAATAGTATGTAACTAAAAAAAAAAAAATAGTATGTAACTGCTTCTTGAAAGACATCAGATTTGAAGGAAAATTCATCATATATTATGTATTCCCAATACTTTGATCTATTTCAAGTCCTGAGAATGCAGTCTCCACTTGCCCCATCTCATCCCATCCTTCCCACCGGGGGTGGACACTGGTTTTGAAGTATGAAAGGCTTATGTACTTCTATGTTTTAGCTGGATGCTAGCAAAGGAGAGGTTTAAGAAAAAATGATGGATCAGCAAGAAAGCTCTCAAGTAAAGATCAAAAACCAACAGGGATGTGAGCCCATAAGGAAATCTCTGAATGGACCAAGGGCTCTAGGACAGATAAAAAGGGAGTCAGAGAATGAAAACTACAGAGTGGTTGTCTCTGGGTGGTTGGATTGTATTTTCCATCATTTCCAAATTTTATATAAAAGAGAAAAATACATTTAGAAAATAAGGATGAGAGGATGCCCATATACATACCAATAGGACAGAAGCATCAAGGCAGGCTGTCAGTATATTAAAATAATGGCCAATGGAGCACCTCAACCCCATCCCACGCCCTGAACTAGATAAGGACTCAGGGCTGGAGAAAACATTCTTGGGCTCCATTCATTATAATAAACACTTCTATTACCAATATCAGAGTAGAAAAAAATCAAAGAAAGAAAACAAAGAAAGAAAAATAGCTCCTACAGACTATGAGTGAAGGTTTAGGGATGATTAATCAGACACACCTCATGTACAGAATGGAACGTATCTGGAAAGAATCTTGCAAAACAAGATTCAAACAAACAAGCAAACAAAAGAACTCTCAGGACTTAGAATCAGGAGTCGTGAGATTCCAAGCTACCAACTTGCTATGTGATTTTAAGCAAGTCCTTTCTTTTTCTCTGTGCCCTGGTTTCTTTTATGGAAATCAGGCCTTTCTAGGTCTAAAGCTGGGGGATTCTAAATTGTGCAAAAGAGGGAAGAGGAAGTTGCTTCTAGAGGTATGGAGGGGTTCATACACAGGGAGAGTCAAGGTCACAGTCAGCAGCACAGTGCTGCTCTCCCTCTTTAGAGGGCAAGTCTGTCTACCTACTTCTGCTAACTGGGCCTTATTGAAGCCTGGTCTGGTCTGCAATTTGTAGTGTCGTTTATAACGTCGGAGAGTGTTCACCTGCAGCTGGAACAGATCAACCTAGAGAGAAGAGGAGAAACACATTATCCATCACCTGACCAGCCACGACTCATCAAATGCCCCCATGTGCCTAGCACTATGCTAGGTAGGGGTGGGGAGGGAGAGGACTACAGACAAGTCTTAGAAATGGCCCACTGAGGACTAATTACTGGCTGGGAGGACAGAAACAACAGTAGGCAGAATTCTGGCCAGGGAGGGGTGGTCCTAGAAGGCTGATGGAGGTGGTAAAGCTTATGCTAAGGACAGGCAGGGTTTCGAAAGGGAGCAAGGAACAGAGAGTAGGGAATTATAGAGAAGGCCATGAGCTCAGAAAGTCAGGGGAGAAACACACGGGCTAGGAGATCAAAGGCACTTATGGTGGGTTTAAAGGGTGAGACTGGGTGGTAGCATGTCTTGACAAGCAGAAGTAGTGATCCTGGTTTGGGGAGGGGGGTGCTATCCCCAGAAGATGAATCTGTGGTGGTTTGTAGGAAGACTGACTGGGGTTCGGGGGGATGACAGAGGGAACTGCTGCAGTGATGATCCAGAAATGAGATGGGAAAGCAGGGGTGCTGATGCTGGAGGGGGCAGCAGGCAAGGAGAGAAAAGGGAAAAGCAGACAGACATCCTGGAGGACAGGTTAGAGCTCGGCCCAGAGTGGACAGAGGGGCGTGAAGGAGGACAGCAGGATGTACTAGTGTTCTCAGATAGTTCTCCCCTAGGCCTAGCTGTCAGGTGTAAGGATCCTTAACAGCCCCCCACCCAGAGACAGCTCAAAGCTACTGTAGCAGATGTACAAATCAGCAGGCTAGGGTCTGGGTCTCTGCAGATGACTGGGTAACAGAGGGGAAAGGACTCTCCTTTTATTTTTTTCTAATAAAGGAAGAGAGGAAAGCTGCACAGTCATGAAATAGTGAAGGCCCGGAAAGTTGGGCTGCCTTTACCTGCCTCTAAAAGAGATGTTCTTGCTTCAGGCAGGTGGAGAGCACTTAAAAACAAAATGAATGATCAATATGAGGGACCAAAGTCCTTCATTCTTTTCAAACATTCCTCAGATCTTTTTCTTTTTGTGAAAAGCATTTTGATAGTGAATACATCCATTCCTTCGTAAAATAATAATGCTAAAAGCATCAGAAAGATACTGTAAACCAGTGATAGAAAAGGAGACACAGAGAGGGGCAGGGGGAAAGGGCCATATTTTCAAAGATTTTTCCTCCGCATCTGCAGACAAAGGCCCGCCTACTCTTTCTATTCCTACAGTCATTTTCACCCTGAGTGCTAACAGGCGGTTGCCTTATGAAATATTCATGCGTCAAATATTCAATGTACATTATAAATGGTTCTTCTTTTGCTGAGTCTTAAGTGAAAACAATTTAGACAGAAAGAAAATTCGATATTCATTCCTGTTAACCTTGCTTAATAGACACTGGCACTTTGACGGGATGGTGGCCTTCTGGTTTGAGAAGCGATGGTTCTCAGCAGGACAATTCTGCCCCCAGAGGACACCTGCAATGTCTGGAGACACTGGGAGTAGTGGCATGCCTGGCACCTGGTGGGTAGAGGCCAGGGATGCTGCTGAACATCCTATGAGGCACGGGACAGCCGCCACCACAAAGAATTATCTGGCTCCAAATGTCAACAGTGCCACTGTTGAGAAACTCTGTGCCAGTGTAACTGACCTTGGAATAGATCTTTGGGAATAAGCCTGGACCAGGAATCAGAGAGTGATAGAAAATCCGAGCTGGTGGGACCTGACAATTTACACCTTCATTTTGCAGACCAGGAAACAAAGCGGAAGTGACTTCCCCAATCCATACATACTCAGTCTCCATCTTTAAGGGCAAAACCAAAGTTCTGAAAAACTCAGCATTGTGGTTGTATTTAAGTACTTTTCAGGGGCTTCTTGAAGAAAGGCAGCACAGATACTGAAGAGGGCACTGGACTGGGGCCCCCAAACTGTGTGTGTGACCTTGAGTGTCTGTGCCTATCAGTAAAATGGTGGGGCAGTTAGACCAGTTGATTTCTAAGCTTTCAGCCCTCAGATTCCATATTACTACGATGCTATGATTCACTTTTCAAATACACCACAGCAACACAAAGGAGACTAAGTTACTTCTTAGACCAGGCCAGAGGTAAGGATCAGGTCAGAATTCATTCTCCCAGCTTTCTCAAGGTGAAGTTTTGGACTTTTACCTCAGGAATGTCAGTGTCATGCTCAGGAGAATCTCCGCCATCGTCACTTGTCTTCCTCTTCCTTTTATTTCGTACACTCTGGATGAAATTTTTGTGAAAATCGCAAATATACAGATGCCTTACCTGATGGGAAGCAAATTAAAGTCAGAGTTGCCAATCCCATGGAAACAGCAACAGGTATCTGTCAAACTATTGGCCTTTTCTCCTTTGTGAGGCATTGGAGAGACCACAGGAAGAAACAGATACAAGCCATCATTTCCTCAAAGAGAACACTAATATCACACCGGGCAGTTCATTATAAATCAAGTTCCCCCTGGATGATAAACACAACACATGTGACAGACACAGCAAAGGGCAGGGCTCCCGCAGCTGAGGTAACTGGAGTGGAAGTCCCTGACCAGAAGAAGACTGCAGGGAGATAGGAAGCATTCTGGATGGGACAGCCAAGATTGAAGTTTCAAAGGAGGCTGACAGAAGGTGTGAGTGAGGACGCCCTGAGGAGACTGTATCACTTAGGTGAAAGTGACTGCCTGTGCAGGAGCATCAGGAGAAATTCATGGGTTTGGGACATGAGAACAGCTTAGACTTTCCTTCAAACAAGACAGAGTTCCCCTGCGACATGACATCTTCAGACCTGTAGGAGTGAGTAACTTACATGGGGCTGGAATGCACTGCCCCTGGGAGCAGGAAAGTGTGCACTGTGGTAATGATAGGATAACAGGCCATCCTATTTTAACATTGACAATAGCAACTACTGTACCATGACAACCCTCTGAAAAACTATTTCTATGTATCAATTTATAATTCTTGCATCAGCACTCATGGAATCCACAAAGAGAAGCAGAAAGAAGTGCAGAGATTCTCACAAGGTGAAACCACATAAAAGAAGCTGGATACCACTGCTGATTTTCTAATGGAGGCTGGAGGCATAATAGGAAGTGAAGGTGGAAGCAGCAGCTAAGATGTGAAGGACGTGTTTTTACTAAGAATGTAAGTACCAGGGTTGAGATGGAGCAACCATTCAAGAACCTAACAAACTGAATGCCTGTGTAAATGACTTGGGGTTGTTGACACTGAACCAGATGTTACACAAATGTTCTTGAGACACTTCTGAATTTGAGGTTATTCCTCTACTGCTTAAAGATAAAAGTAAGCTGATAGGTAACCAGCGTAGTTAATTCAGGCCTTTCTGTGGAGAAAATAATGGAAACTGTTTCTTATTCACATGAATCAGCACTTTCATGTGGTTAGATTAGTGAGCCATGAGTAGTTTTACGTTTACATTGTGATAGTGTCTTGCAGACAGCAGGTATCCAATAAACATTGCTGTACCAACACAAGCAGCCCCTTGCATCTAAAAGCAGCTTAGGCCAGTAAAAGCCACATTTACATATGGCTACAAATTTGAATGACTTTGCCAGATTCAACTCTGTCAAAGGACTTTCAGACACAGCACGTGTCACAGTCTCAAAGAATCCCATCCAGCTGATGCATAGACGACTGGACATGCTTTCATCAGGGAAGAAAGCACATTCACAACATATCCTACATCCCCCATGATAGCTAGTTTCACATGTAAGACTAAGCTGTTCTTCAAATTCACAGACTGACAGACTTAGAAAAAGAACAGGCAGAGGCATGATTCCTAAAGCTGTGACTGGGAGATTTTCAGGTCAAGATGCTAGAATAATAGAATCCTAGATGGAAAAGAACTCAGCAATCACTAGTGCAAACCCCCCGGCTCCCATCTCATTTTCTAGAGATATAAACTGAAGCCACCTTAAGTGAGGAAATGACCTGGCCAAGGTCATCCAGACCTTCTAACCCCGGGCACGTGTCCTTCCTACTGCAACACCTTCCTTATGCTGCTCTCCACTTCCACTTTCCTCCAGAAAAAAGCAGATATATGTCAATTGGAGTGATGTTTGAAAGCATGTTATATCTTAATAAATCACAGAACACTGCTAATGCCTATACAGAAGGAGTTAAACTGCCTGAGTTGGATTTAAGGTGCTATTATTTTAAAAGGTTCTCTGCTAGACCCTTTTATAAGATAAATAGTCATTATTCTTCCTTAACCATTTTCAAGTACATATTGGTTTTCAGAATTTCAAAGCTCAGTGGCCTTTGGGGAGTTGGGGGTGGAGGAAGGAGGGTGATAGAAAAGGCTTTTTTTTTTTTTTTCTGTTTCACTTTCTGCAACAGCTAAAAATTCTTGTAACACAGCAGTTACTTAGAATTGAATTCCTGCCTAAGCCTGTGAGAATGAAATAGAATCCCTTTCAGAAATAATGACTCTACAACACCACCTTGAAACAAACTATGAGTGAGTCTGCCTTGAAATCCTACTCCTTCAAAAGCATTACCTTTTGGGGACTCTAGTACTGGGCTCAGGCTGCCTCTCTTCCAGACAGTGTGTATCAAAGTCAACCTAGCCCTACACAGGTTTTCACAGGTTTTTCAGAGGGGTCACCAGGAAAATGGAGTCCCAGATGCAGCAACACAACTGCTCAGAGGGTGGGTTTAAAAGAATCGGGAATTTCTGTTTCTTAAGGACCGGAAAAAATATTAAGTAAAGACTTCCAACCATCTACACAGAAGGTGGGCAGTGCTTCCATGAGGATGAATCCACTGCTGTCCTTGAATTGAGCATTTCACTTCCATATTGTCCCATTCCAGGCCACCACTGTGGCTAGCCAGTTATTTGCTCTCGGTTGAATTCCTTTCATTCACTGATAGAAACTTGTAGTGAGGAAGCCATCAATTCACCCCTAACCACTTAAAAATAGCATCTTTCCATTGGAGAGTTGCAAATATAATTGTTAGCTTAAAACAACAACTGGACGTGAGAGTAAGAGTGTAGAAGAAAGCGCATGGAAGATATTTTTAATTTTTTATTTATTGAAGACTTAATCAAGCCTTATGTGTGAGGCCCGGAAGTAAATCAGACAACAGATTCAATTAACCAGCCCCTTAGGTGCTGTGTGACTTTGGCACCCTCGCTTCCTATCTCTGGGTCTCAGTTTCCCTTGTAACATCAGAAGTGGAAAAAGTGGGTGTCCTTTCAGTTTAATGAGCGATCTCTGATTTCCCCCCAAAGTGGAGAAATTTTGGTCTTAAAAGAGAAGAGATGGTAACCACCTAATCTAGCTGGTCCACCTGAATATTAAATACCCCCCTAACTCATTTTCAATTCCTAATCACCTGGCAGCCACTTTAGGCTTACAGCAACAGATGTCAAAGGAAAAAGTTCTTAATTGGTTGACAATAGACACACCTTCAGAATTTTTAGAATAGTTAACTACAGTTGTGAAATCGCACCGGAAAAGTTTTCTATTCAAATTTAAATTACCCACCCCCACCACTCCCCGGGCATTTCTGAAGAACTTAACTCTATAAAAGTAGGATTTCTTCCTTCCAAATCACTTTGACCGCCTGAGCCACCTCCCAAGACCAGGTCCTGGCCTTATTTCTGCCACATCCTTGAAAATCCCATTTCCCCACAGCTGCCTGCTAAGCAGCGAGCTCGGCGACCCTGTGCAGAAGCTGAGGCCGCCGCAGACAGGAAAGGAGCTGCCACCTTTCCTTTTCTGAAGGAATAACAGGGATCCGAGAAGGAGGGAGAAGTTGGAGAAGAGCCGGGTCCCTTCATCACCTGCTCCTCCGTGGGCCAACCAAATGAACCCACCTCTTCCTGCTCCTCTGCCTACACCGATAAAACGCGCTAAAAACTGGTGTCAGATCTTGCCAGGCAGGAAGGGTCCTCGGAGCAGACCCGCCACCAACCTCCCGGATTTGGGCAGAGTCCTAGTTAGAGCCCGTCAACGCCGAGCGGCCTTTGCAAGCCCGAGTCCAACTCATCAATTTGCAGATAAAGGGCGGCGAGGCCCAGGGCTGGGAGGGCCCCCGAGTCCCGCCCGCAGCCCGGGGCAGCGGCCCGAGAGCCACCCGGCGAGGGGACCCAGCCGGGGGCGGGGGCGGACTCACGCTCTTGTCGATGTCCAGCTTGAGTTTCTTCTGCGAGATGCTCTTCTGGACTCTCTTGCTGAAGGAGGCGTTGCCCGCGGGCCGGACGCAGCGCTCGCCGTCCTCGATGAGGCAGCAGCTCTGGCCGTAGCCCGGGGCGGCGGCGGGGGCGGCGGGGGGCCCTTCGCGGCTGTCCTCCTCGGTGCTAAAGCCGTTCATCTCCTCGCCCCGGGCCGGCCCCTCTGGGGGAAGGTCCCCCGTAGGCCACTCCGCAGCCGCGCTCCCCGCGGGGCAGGTCGCCGAGGCCCCCGCGCTCGAGGGTCCCAGAGTCCGTCTCCAGCCGAGGAGCTGCCCGGCCCCGCGCCCGGGAGGCCCGGCTCCGCTCTGCCGCGCTCCGGCTCCTTCGGTTCCCGGCCCGCGTCTCCACCAAGCCCCTTCCTCCCTGCTCGCGGCCCCGGGGTCGTCTCTCGCGGCTTGCAGGGCCCCGCCGGGAGTCACCCTGAGGCGCCTTCTACCGGGGGCCCTGAACCGTTACCCTTCGGCGGGGACGTCCAGGAGGGCGTCCCAGGAAGCACCAGCTCCCCGAGGACTCCGGGCCCGGGTTGCCAGAGGGTTCTGAGGGCCCCCGCCGGCTCCCGCCTTCTTTCGGCTGCCGGGCAAACTCGCCGCCGGGCAGCTCCCCCGGGGTGGCGCGGCCTCCCCGCGCGGGGCCCGGCCTCGAACCCGCGGCGCCCGGGCCCCGCGGCTCCTCTGGCCCGCCCCACCCCTGCAGCCGCTCGGCTGCGCCCCGAGTCCCGAGGCAGCCCCTTGGCCGCCCGGCCGCCGCCCGCCCAACGCACCGCACCACAACAGTTCGCTCCCCCCCGCCCTCCGCGGGACAGCGGAAGTCCCGCCTCCGAGAGCCCATTGGTATCCTTTCCTCTGTGGGCGGGGCCTCCGCCGCCGCTGGCACGTCCCATTGGGCGCCATCGCCGCCAGTCCCTGGCGCCTGGCTACTTCCTGGACTCTGCTGGGATGGGTTCAAAGTAGAGAAAGTGGAAGAGGGAAGAGTTCCCCGGGTGAGGGAGACGAGCCGGGCCGCAGACTTTCTGGGCTCGGGGAGGGATGGTTAACAGGGTCCCGGTTGGACGGAGGGCCCGACTCCGGGGACAGAGTATCACCTTCTGGGGACAGAAGTACAGTCGTGGGCGGAGGCGCAGAGGGACAGATACGCGGTGGGGCTTGTGAGGGGGGGACCTAGAGAGAGAGGTTCTGTCATGACAGGTTCAGACTGGGTGAAACGGAAGGACCAGGGCCAGAGGACCCGCAGATCCGCGGGACAGAAACCGGATAGGAAGACAGTCATGGCGGGAAAGACAGAGGGACAATCGGGACAGATACGTGGAAAGACATGGAGAGGAGGTGATGGGGGTCTGACGGCGGGTCTTGTAAGGCGGTCAGAAGCTTAGGGGTAGCGGAGACTCCCCACTGTGGAGACTGGGATAGGCTTGGTCGGTGCGGAAGGGGAGAGGGACTGGGACCGAGGGGCTTGGGTGACCCTTCAGCTGGGAAGAATCGGAAGTCAGGATTAGGTCTGGAGGGTGGACGGAGAGAACCGCGCGGGGAAGAGGAGGGGCTGCGGAGGAGATGCAGAAAAAGGCTGGGCCAATCTCGGCGTGGAGAAGGGTTTGCCGTATTTTGGGCCCTCCCTGGAGCTCTGTAAGCTGAGGCTTCTATTGCTTTAAGCCTCCGGGTTTACTCGCGAGGTGGCCGCGCCCTGCAGAGCCTGGGACTTGGGGTTCGGAGCCCAGAATGTCACGCACACCCCCAGGGCCGTAGGGAGATCTGCTCCAGCACGCCTAGTCGGGCCACCTCTCCACTGGGTGGCCTGGGGACAAATGAGGGCCAAAGGCCCAAAGGGACTAGTCCAGGGTCAGGCAGTCACGCAGTCTTTTAGGGCTGGGAGGCATTTTCACCAGGGGAGGGACATGAAGGGGACAGGGAGCGTTAGAGTCGCACGTGTACCTATTTTAGTAGTACTTGGTGGCATTGAAGAGGCTTCTGGTTTGTATCTTGTTGAAAACGGGAAACTACCAGTTTCCATGTTTAGAAACAGATGCCCTGTGATCTTCAGTTTTCTTCAGTGCCCTTAAACGTATTTGTACCCTGTAGCCTAGTAATTTCGCATGTGAGACAGCCATTTTAGGAAACTGGCCTAACTAGAAAATATTTTAAACACAACAGTGTTCATTATGGGATTATTTAAAATGGGAAAATTTGAAAAGAGCTGGAAAGTTCCATACTGGAAATGGTTAAATCAACAACCTAACTCTGCATATAGGATATGATGTGTGTACATCTATGTTTTTAAAAAGAAAAACAACTATTTGTACATAAAAAATACACTGGAGTATCAACAGTAATTATTGTGGGGGAGTGGAAATAGGATTAATATTTTTCTCCTGTTATTCTATGTTTGCATTTTCCCCAATAAACATTTCTTGCCTTTCTAGTAGGAAAAAATAGAATAAAAATTAATAGAAAAAAAGGCAAGTTTAATAAGATTCTTCCCTTGGAGTTCATAAATTCAAAAGTAAATTATTGAGCATATAGTGTGTATACTCATTTCAGGCTTGGCCACAGGAACAAGATGAAATATAATCCTAGGCTTAAAAGAGTATAGCTTCTAGCAGGGAAGTTCAGACAGACACAGAAAAACACCTGGTTATCTGTACAAGGCAGTGTGTGATAATGGTTTCAAACTTGATTGGTATGGATAAGAGCTCCTACATTTTCCATATTTTTTCCCTATATTTTTTCAAAATAGCATTTGCACCTAGCCCCAGGGTGCTGCAGTACAGTTTATTCTGCACTAGGTTCTCCTATCACCATCCTTCTGGTGGGGAGGGGAATGGGGTCCTTATTCTTGTGGGCTTCCCTGATGGCTCAATGGGTAAAGAATCCTCCTGCAATGCAGGAAACACAGGAGATGCGGGTTAGATTACTGGGTTGGGAAGATCCCCTGGAGAAGTGAATGACAATCTACTCCAATATTCTTGCCTGGAGAATCCCATAGACAAAGGAGCCTGGCAGGCTACAGTCCAAAGGGCCACAAAGAGTTGAACACGACTGAGCAACTAGAAGAAAGGCCTAAAAGAAAGTATTGTCTTTCAATACTTTGAGCCCTAGAAGAAAGTACTGTCTGCTCCTTATATATGTTATTCTTATTATTTTTGTGTGTGAAGTATTTATTAGAATATGATACTATATCACTGGCCATCATTTATTTGGCCATCTATTTAAAAAAGTTATTTGTTGAAGTATAGTTTTTTTTTATTAGTTTTTTTGGAGTACGGTAGCTTTACAATGTTGTGTTAGTTCCTCCTTTACAGCGAAATGAATCAGCTTTACATATACATGTGTCCCTTTTTTGGATTTCCTATATCTGCTACTCCTGTATTCTTGAGAGTGAGTTCTCTTTACTTCTTACTGGGGAATGCCTCCTTACTACAGTCCCATTATAATTAAGTAATCTTTACCTTTCTCCATTTAAATTACTGTTATGTTTCTCTCCTAATTACCTCTAGCCTCTATGTATTTTTGGGGGGCGGTGACACATGCTTTTAACTAGCCTTTACATACAATTTTGTAGTCTTTCTTCAGGGGAAAGGTGACTAATACAGAAGGGTCAGAGAGATAAAAAGTTACTGTCTTTGAGGATGGCGGAAGGGAGCCTTGAGCTAAGGAATCACCTGCTTGCCTGGAAATAGGAATAGCTGTCGGGTGGCCTGGATTACAGGGCTCCAAGAACAGAGAAGCAATGCACTTTGCCAGGCAAGACTCCAGCCTCCTTGACCTTCCCTGAGTTCCCAAGGGTAGACTGGAACAGTTGAGGAGCAGCCTAGAAACCATCTGAGGCAAGATTAAAGAAACCTTTAATTTTAAGATTTAAACGTTTAAGATTAAAGAAACCAGAGAAGCTCATCAAGATTAGGAGACCAACTATGTGAGATGAGATTAAAGGAGTACAAGCCCTATTCACACCCTAATCTTGTCAGACCCCATCTTTGATCCACTGTTATAAAAACCCTCATCAAATTCCCTGGCTTGAGACATAGTTTTTCAAGGCAGAGGCCTGGTGTGTTTCCCTTTTCCTGGCAAAGCAATACCTATCCTTTCTGCTTTACCTGCCTCCGCCCCCACCAACCCACAAAAAGAGACAAAACAACAACAAAAGAAACCTTTATCATAAACTTTCCTTGTGCTATTATATAGATTAGTTACAAATAGTAATATCTGAAAAAAATTCCAATCTCCTTGCTGGGGAAATAAATCTATAACTCCGGAAAGGAGATATGAATAAATAGTCAGATATTGCAGGAATGAATACAGGAGGGAGAAGATTCTGTGATCTTATCCTGCTTTGTGTAGGATTTAAGATTCTTGAAATGGCCCTGAGAGTCTGACTTACAAGTTTAGGTAATTAATTTACAACATTTGCTTAAGTGCTTAGAAATATCTGGCTTTTTAGATTTGTAAGTCTACCCTGTTGGCCATTTCAAATGTTTGAGAAAATCAGGCATATTAAATTAGTAATTGTAGTTGGAAATGTCTAAGGAAATTTGATTAATTAAGGCTGTAAGTCTGTTCAATGTTTAAGGAGGACTGAATCTACTAAACTTAAGAATTAATAGTAATCACAGAACAAGTGAAAGTGATTGTTCTTATCTTTATACAAAAAATTTACTAGATTTATAATAGAATCGCAAGGTTCATAAGTTGAACTTAAAGTCTTAAAGAATAGCTAGGTTTTTAAATGGGCAACTAACATTCTTTTCCATACCCAAACCTACCCCCAGGTATTTAAAATAGCAGATCAGTAGCCCCCAGTTTTATAGTTCTAGCTGAGACCTCTCTTCTGAACTCCAGATCATTCAGCTCTGCTTGGAAAGCTTTAGAGGCATTGCAGACCACAATGTTCAAGTTAACTTTTTCTGACACCCAAATCCATAAACTCTAACCATTATCATCCTTGACTCTCCCTCCCTCTTCCTCTGCTTCAAGCCAACCCATCATCAAGGCATTTTCTTCTATTTCCAATAGATATTCAGAATTTCTCCCCTTCATTTTCTACAGCCAGCAGCTCAGCCCAGCCCAGCATGATCTTTTGCCTGGAATGTTTCAGTGGCTTGTTCCTAAATCACTTATTCTCTAGGGAGCAAACCTAGACCATGCCACAC